AGTGACACAAAGGGCTGTTTTTTTAACCACCAAGAAATGCCCCAGTTTAACTGCTTTTAAACTCTAGAGAGTAATGCCCTTTCTCTACCTGCAGGCTATTAGTATGTGTTCCTGTGTAATTCTGCTGTGACTGAACCACAGAAAACTCTTTACCTATCTCAACACACATTCTTCGATTTGAAAGGAAAGCCCTCACCTGGTACATTAAATACCGATACAGATTACTTCCTAAAGACGAACAGTCATTTAATAGTTATTTACACTGCTAGTTGCATATCTTGCACGTATTTTTATTAATATGTGTTTCAGACAAAAAAAACCCTTCATGGATAAGGAGAAGGATATTGGTAGCCAGTGTGGGATACTAACACCAATGGGTGTGCTGGAGTAGCGTGTAAAGCTCCCTCCCTTGTTACAAAGAATTCAGGGTTTATTTGTATCTGGTACTTTTTTTCTGAAGGCTGTGCTTCGTTCTACAAGTATCATTTTTCAGTAATTTTCTTTTTTTTTTAAAGATAGCAGGAAGCAGACAGACACATATCTAAAACACAATTAAAGCATTAGGTAAAATAATTTCTGTTAATTTTACTTCAAAATGTAGTTTTCTTCATGGAAAATACGAAAATAAGGGTTGTGGGACAACATATGCACTGTGCATTCTGAGCTGGGCTCATGAAGTGATGTGAGATAGACTTTTACAACCTCAGAAGGCTGGGCTATATAAAGGGATGCTCAGATAAAGGTCTCCTTTTGCCAGCCCCAGCACTAAAAGCCACACTGGCTTCTTGCCTGCTCAGCAGAAGCCTGTTCTCTCCTCTACCTGCTGTGGCTGGGGTCCAGTTCTCCATTCCTCATGCCTCAGTAGCTTGGTAACAGTCTGGCAGGTGGAAATTCAGCTGACTATTGCATTAAAGGTATATGACAAGCTATGGGTGCCTTCCATCCCTGCTTGCAGCACTGTTTCTTCAGGGTTGAGAAGAGTATGATTTAGAAATACAGTGCCTCTGTAATACAAGTCCTGAAAAGGAAGGTGTCATTTCTGCACAGATGTTTTCCAGAGTGGAAATGCACTTGAAACGGTGCATTTTCTAACTGTTAACAAAACCATTGCAGGTCTGGGGTGGACATCTGCTCCATTTCCTTCCAGGTTGCGATTCTGTAGGAACTGCACCATGGAGTGGTCTCTGGTCAGCAAATGCTACTTTCTACTACGGTAGAAAATTGGACAAATTCAACATGAAAAATGAAGGTACTTTTCTAGTTCAAGCTCCCTGCCACAGCACGTAGCTGGAAGTAGAAGAGATGCTCTCACTTCCTTGCTGGTTGTGTGACTATCTGAGCACACTGAGCTTCTTGATAGCTAGTAAATCCATCAGCAAAATGACAGTAATGTAATCGTGATTCCACCACAGAATATGATTTTTCAAATCCAATTTAAACCTCAGATGGTAGAGGTCCTATTTATTATCCTGAAATGAGGATGATTCAAAAAGATCATGATTTCCTATTATTCTTAAATCCATCTTTAGGTACCTATTCAAAACCCTGCAGTGCTAATAGAAATCATATTTCACATGTGTATCACAGACAATATCACAGTACTGTAGAGTTAGCAACAGTTTATTGGCACTGTGCCACACTGGGTCTATGTCTTACAACAGGCTTAGCGGTAACATGTAATTAAGTTCCACAACAGTAGTGTGGAGGGGGAGGTTTTTAAGGTACCTATTTCTAAAGTAAGGCATCACTAAGCCATTTTCAGTACAAAGAGTTAAATTTCAGTGACATTTCCCTTTTTAAAAAGAACTAGGGTAAGACCAAAGTTGTGCCTGCATGCATGCGCTGCGGTTTGCAGATGCATTGCCAAGTTCCTCTGCCTGACGTCGCGTGGAAGCGTTAAGCTCCCTCTGGAGCGGAAAGACCCAAGTGAGGTTTGTGGATCAATACCACTGATACTAGCAATATTCCAGTTCAGCACTATTTTGACAGTAGAAATTAGTGTTTCCCTTCTTACAGTCAGGCCTATATTCTCATCTCAGTGCACAAGGATTTATGAGCCTAGTCTAAAACCTGCTGAAGTGAAAAGAAATCGTTCCTTTTAGTGCAATTGTATTTCAGATCAGTCCAAATATTTATTAACAATATTTACAGTGTTAGGCATCAGCTTTTGTACTTTCAGGATGAAACTAAACCCCAGATTACTGGTGAACTCTTTTACAGTTCTTTGTGTAATTCTTAAAATGTATTTCTATGTAATTCTAAGCATGGAATGATCATCAGACTGTGTACACATACCACACAACCCTGTCAGCATTTGCACAAAGTCTTAGTTACTATCAGTCAAGCTAACTAACATCCTTTGCTGAAAAATAAGTCACACTATTTTTAAGGTATTTCTAAATGCTAAACTCATCAAGAGCAAGAAAAATACAGAGACCAGGAGTTTTTTGCCTTTCTCTTCTAGTATATTGTTACAACATACGATGGCCATTAAAAAATGTATGCAACAAGCCTCAAAGTCTCAATTCATCTGAATGCAAAGTCATATGGATTGCACTATACAGTCAAGCGTCTGTGGACAGTTACCTTCTGGAAAGTGAATTCCTGAACTTGGTGCCACTTTTTGCCAATCAGGCAAATAAAAGATCACAGCAGATGTACCTCTAGGCTTTCCAAGGGCAAAAGAGTTTGCACCATGTATTGTAAGGCCTAGCAGCTTAACTGTGGCTTTCAGGATCTTCTTTCCTCACTAATATGAATTTTCTCCCTATACTGAATCTTAATTCTTGTATATTGTTTTTTGTTTAGTGTGCACTTTGTTCCGTCTCTCCGAACAAGATATTCTCTCTAGGCATTTCTTCATCTGGCATAGCTTAATGCAGACCAGATTTAGATATTCAAATCAGCACTGTTTAGGCTCTTTGATGACATTTTCAATTTCAAATAATTTATGCAGCTTTCACATAAACAGTAAATACACTTACTGATACTGCCCAATCTAAAAGCTGAACTTTATACAAAAATTAGCAAGAAAACAGAGTCAGGCAGTTTTCCAAATTGAACCAAATATTTCTAAGAATGAGGTGCCTCCAATGAAAATATTTTGCCAAGCTCAAGTGTTGCAGTAGTACCTGAGTAACAATGCATGGCAATAGATGAGGCCTTTACTTTTCATGTTAAAACTGCTTTTTACTAATATGCAGTTACCTTTGACAAGGCAATTGCTTCTTGCCTTCATTGAAAAAGCCACTCAAATAATTTCATGTCATTTTGCTCTCCTTCTTACTGGCTGTCCCCTTGGCAATACATCATGTTGGTGTCCATGAAGCAATCCCACACTCAGGACAGCAGTGACCAGTGCGAGGAGAACACAGGTAAAATCACCCCAAAGCTGGGATTTTTCAGGTTTATTTCAAAGGGCCACGTTAAGGTCTGAAGATAGCCAAACCTCTGACGAGCCCACTGGCTGTGGGAGCCTGAGGAACGCACCCTGACAACACCACTGACCTGCCTCTTAGTTTATCAACATCTGCTCTGTGTGAGTTTCCAGCCTGCCTTCTGCCTCCTCCTCCTCAGCCTTCGTGATAACACTACCCTCAACACCCTTTCTGTCTTTCCTTCCCAATTAATCCTGGACCTTTTTCTCACCATCCTGCACACCTCTACAAAACACTTGTCAACAGGTCACTACCTTGCTTTTTCATTCCCCTCTCTCCCTGACAGGAGCTCAGAACTGGCACTGTTTAATTGAAATGCCGAAAAGAGCTCTGGCTTAAAATAAAGGGTCACAGGATCTTGTTTATCTTGCCTCAATCATCCCACCCGAGCCTGCTATGACAGTGTGGAGTGTTGTTCCTCTGGGACACCAAGCATACATCAGGCTAAAGCAGCAAGCGCATGCCTTGGTGGTGTTAAATCATAAATAAAACAGCAGCAGCAGGCACCTCCTCTTGAGCATAAAAAGCAGAAGTCTCCCTGTAACTTATTTAAGTCCTCTCCTCAGAAGCAAACCCTCTCTGTTAGACTCCTGAAATCTGCTTTACTTCAGGGAGTACAGCTCTTCAGCTGAGCTCAGAAATTAGTCTGGCAGTATAGTCCCCTGCAGCAGAAATCTCCAGAGCAGGCACAGCATGAAAACCATTGCCCGCCCGTCTTAAGATTAATTTCCCCCCAGCATTCACTGGAGTTCGGCACCACCGGCACTTGTGCGTTCAGCCCTTGGGGCAGGCGAGAAGACAGCTGTACCACCGATGTGTGAAGTGTTTGGAAAAACAGTTTGAAGAAGCCAACGGGAAAATCAGCATCCTACTCCTCTGCTGGCACCAGCCATTTTTAGCCTCCCTGTGTTGATGGCCCTGAAACACTGCGCCTTGCTGGTGTGATGCTGGTGCTAGTGTAGATAACAGGAGGTAGCAGGGCAGATGCAGGAAAATGTCCACAAGCCTGAAATCAGGAGCAACAAATCGGTAAGTGCAAAGGTAAAAAGCAGTGATGGAAAAGGGGTGATCCACAAGAAGGTCGCTGGCAATTTGACTCTTCTCTAAGGTCCCAGGTGGCAACCTTCCCGTCACCATCGAAAGCACCTAGCCAACAAATTGAGGATGAAAAACACAGGGAAGACTTTTACCACTACTATCAAGTTTCCTCACACACGTGTTTCATGAGTACCTATTTGCAGGTACAGATATTTACTGAGACAGTCAGATAGCTGTCTGGTAGTCTGCTATGAGCAGGGTAGGCAGGTGTTGCATACTCAAACTTTACATGACTGATATGAAGGCTAGTCTGGGACTCACTCATTTTGGAAATGCGCAGATTTCTAAGTTTCCAAGTTTTCTTGATTTGTGCATTTAAAGAAAAGAGTTGGCAAACAATAACACAAGATATATTAACCTGCAGATGGTTCAGTTGTTGAAATTTTTGCGCATTTTTCAAACGTATCATCTTGGATTCGGGCTCCAACTGTCCTGGCAAATGATGAAATGATGGCTTTCATGTATTGCAGTGAGAGATGCATTTATTTTATACACAGGCTCATCATCAACAGCTAGCACTGCCATTATTTTCACAGGGAAAGTACATTTCCTCCCCTCTTAATGTTCATATCTAACAAAACTTTTTTTTCCCCTCAAAAGTACTGCTGTGTATATCACTAGGTGCACGCTCTATCTGTAGTCAATTTTCTCTTCAGGTTCAGGGTGATTACGTGGCTGAGCACTAACTACAATTACTGATGATGTGGGGGAGAGCTGTGTGCATGGCATTCATCAGTGAAGACTAGACATCCCTCCCTGACACCCCCCTTCCCCTCTCTGTCCCCTGACACTGTAATTGTCAGTTTTCCTGAGAGTGTGAAGCAGGGGATTAGCTGCGCTTCACGAACTCCGGCAGCTCCATGCCCGTGCGCACAGTAAGCGCTCCAGCCTTCTCCAGGGCAAAGGCCGGGTGAGCAGCATCAGTGAATTTGTGCCTGATGGTGAACAGCACCAGTCCTCTCTCTGCATTGAAGAACAACAGTCTGCCACCACTGTAATCCAACAGGATGCCGATCCTGGCCAGGTGTTCTGTCACACGGACATCGCTCATCACACCAGTGTGAAGAAATCTGTAAAGAAAGCTATGGGAAAATGGGAACCAGAACACAGTGAGCCTCCTCATGGTGATTTACCAGAAATAACCTACTGCTTAATTCCCACCTATTAACAGGTGGCAGCATACAGCAGCATATCACGTGGCAACAGCATTTTGCTCAGTATGTAAGCAAAGCAAATATGTCATCGCTTCAAAGCCCTGCCTGGCACGTTGATGGGCCCTTTCATTTGGCATCTTTGGATTCTCAGGACAAAAGCAGGCTTGCTGTAATCATATTAATCTATATCTTTCTTATTATATGTCTTTGTGGGGATTTAAGCATGAGCTCTGTTTCGGCAAAACACTTTGTATCTCAGATGTTTCATTTAGGTAGTTATGTTCATGCATCTATACAATTTCACACTAAAAAAGCACACTTGTATAGATCAAGAGCACCTTTACACCGCTAACAGAGTTATGCCTTACAAACCTGTAAGCAGCCTGGCACTGGCCCGCTGAAGATTACCCCAGTGCCTGGCAGTCCTGCCACAGTGGCAGGCCTGTCGCTGTGGAGGACAAGGCAGGAGAAGGCATTCTCTATGGAGGCTTGACGTCTCCTGCAGATGGATATAGATTCTAAAAAGACTGCATTTATGGGAATAAATACACTTGCTGGGATTTTGTGAAGCTGTTCTGGGTATGACATTCCCAGAATGACAAAGCAGTGGCAGATGTTTTTTAAGTTTTATTCACTGGCTGGGTGAAAGCCAGTAAATTGGTCTGTTTGAGATTAATTTTATTTTTTAAGGTGCTTTATAAGATTCCTAATTAAAAGGAGGTCTAAAGTTCCTTTGTAGTTGTCCTTTTCTTATTACTCAAATTTGCAGAAAGAACACAGATAGATCCTTTCTGCTCTCGCGATTCTTGCAGCTGGCCAGCTTTATTTATGTGAAGGACAAGTAACTTCCCAAGCAGCTAGACTGACTCAGTTTTACCTGGTTTGTGTAGGACAGCACCGCATGCACCAGGAGGTATCACTCAGCCCCAGGACGCTGCTCCGTGATGTTGCCTCGTAGCAAATCCCAATCCTGTAGCTTCTGCAGGCAGAGACAACGGTTTCCCAGTAATGACGTCCCCGAGCAGGCAGCAGTTCACCCAGGACTGACGGAAACCTGTTTGTGGAAGAGGTGTACAGTAAAGCGAGTGTGGTGGTAGGCCAAGCATATTGTGATATTTATCATAGTCATGTCATGCGGCTGCATCTAAAATTACTAATGGATTGCACTCTGTTCTTCTAACTGCAGGGTTTTATCGAAGATTTGAATGGCGTCACTGAGGTCATTTCATCTTTGCAAAGATGGATCATCTTGAGGACTGAAAACTATGCAACTTTACCCAAAATCATATGAAGCTAACAAAAGGTGGAAAGGTGACTTTGGGGGCAAAAAAGATCTCAAATTTAGCAGGCTTTTTCAAACTAGAAAGCGTGGCTGTTTTAATGCATTGTGTGCATTCAGCCTTAACAGTAAAAAAAGTGCTTAAACCAGTAATACCTCATTAACTTTTAAGAACTCGTACCAGTATGGCTCAACTTATACAAGCGGACCTGTGCTTGCGATGGGACTGATATCAGCATGTCAAAAAAACTCATGGTTGCAATGGATGGAGCTAGCCTGGTACAACGGTTCTAACGTATCCCAGGAGCACTTCTGAGTTCTCCAAAGACACAGATGCTTTGGAAAACATTACCAATAATGCCCTCAGTAGAGGAGCAAAGTAAAAGGATTGATTACTTCTACCCAGAATATTTCCAAAAGTAAGTCCACAAATCTGGCCTTCTTGGGGCAGCAACAAGTTGCTTTGAGACTGAAGTTCTCTGAAGGATTAAGCAGTGACCACAGACTGAGGCAATCCCAGCAGTCCCAGTAGGCACCACTGCCTTTTTAATTTCTGGAGGTTCCTCAGGGCAACACTGAACTCTTCCCAGCACCTACATCAGTGCTGCTACTGGCTTTATTGAGACATTGCAGTGCTTGAAAGAAGGATCAATCACACGATGTCCAGGGGCTATATGACTGAAATGATTCAGTTTCTCTGCAAAATTAGTTAGTGCCATGTGAAAGCTACCTATAGGCAAAAATAAGAGTGAGGGACCCATCCTGAACCCCGCAGGGTGGTCATGCTGCTACTCACCCAGTGAATTTGGCTTTCTCAGGAAGGCGGATCACTGTTGCATTGGAGGAGATTTGCAAAGCGGGATGGGCTGTGTCACTCAGCAGGCGAAATCGAGTTCCTGGTACAATTCATGACAAAGAAACACCATTTCTGAGAGGCTGGTAACATTAACACGAGATGAATCATCAAATGTTAAGCAACAATTACTGCCATCTTAGCTGGCAGGTAGGAGCGGCAGAAAATTGGGTGCAAATGCAAGGACTGTCCCAAGCTGTGCCCTATTGGGATGGCAATCTATTATTCAGAAATGTAGCTAGGTGATAAAGAAGTCTTCAGTATTCAAGAAGCTTGAATAATTTTCAATCAATTGCTTTTTCAAAATAGCAAATTTTGGAAGGCTGTTTTGGAAGAACCATACATAATTTAACACTATTTATCTGGAAACCTTAAAGTTTAAATTATCCGTTACATTTTAAAGCTGTTCTGCATGCTTCCTCATCCCTGAGGATGAGGAAGTCCATAAGGTTTTAATTGAGTGGTTTTTTTAAAGATCTTTTATCAGAATGTGCTCTGCCAAACTCAAGCAAACTGAGGTCCCTGAAGAACATTTAATCATTTCATATCTCTGACAGAATTAAATGTTTTTGCTTGAGGTCACATCAGTTTTACATTGACATAAATCTACCAACTTAAAAAGAAGTAGTCCCTGATTGTGCTAATTTTAAGCATCTCAATAACTTGTTTACTTCCATATCAGAATGTTCAGTTATGACTTCTGGAGGAAAATGCCATTTTTGGCTGATTTGCCCCTCCATCCCATTGTTTTGACAGCAGAAAATGGTGATCTACCTTTAGTTGAGATGAGAGCTGCTTCACTTTGTTCACTTGTCCCAAATGGGTTGACAGCCCTCAAGTAGAAGAAGTAGTTCACATTGGGCTCCAGGGATACTTTCAGTTCAGGCCTCTTTATACCAGCAAAAGATCTGCAAATTTTGAAGATTTTGATACATGAAAATGTATGCAGATATCCAAACCAAGACAGCATAATTTATGCAAACAGCTAAGTCACCTAACAGTATTGTTGACTACTGAAACAACAGGCACCATAGAGAAACTCCAAATTGGAAAGGCGAACACTGTTTTCACAAACAACTGGGTTACGTAGGAGCTTTGGCATTTTACTTGAGGTATCCTCCTTACTTCGTCTGACAAATTTTCAGGCCTTTGTTCCTGTACCACCTTCTCACTCAGTGCAGTCATTTGGTATAATACTCACTTCATGTTCATTTTGCAGCATAAGTCATCACATAAAATGCAAGCAGCACAGAATCATCCACCTTCTGTAAAAAGGCTGCATTACAAAATGAACAAGCTTCTGAAGGAAAAAAACCCTTGTAATTAATTCAGTTGCATGACAGTGAATGCGCTTGTTGTGCTCGTACTGATCCAAAAGAATGGGTATCCTTATCTGAGACTGCACAGAAACTGCGCATTTCTTATTATGAACTCCTTGCTCACAAATTGTTCATCAACAAAGTCTTGGCTCTGTCTTCCTCACGGTGCTGTGCACTCTGACAGGGTGGTTTTGCAAGAGGCAGCAGCAGGGGAACTGCCTTTGCACAGTGCCCTGCTTTGACTAAGTCTCCCCTTTGTGGTGCCTCAAAAGCTCCAGCCCTCACATCCTCCACTGCTGATGTCTTGACACACTGCAGGAAAGCGAGAGTCAGCACCCACTCAATCTGCTTCACAGGAGCTTTGAAGTGCCAGTGAATATGCTTTGGATGGCTAGAAAGATGCCAATTTTATTTTCTATATTGTCAGGAGTATGAAAGATTGGCGTAACAAATTCTCATGCACTGAATCGTAATTTTCCTCATTTTTGCCTCATATGATAACCACAAAGCCAGACAGTATATACCCACCACACTGTACGCCTGCAGATAAACATTTTCTATCTGTATAAATTAGATTATATCCTCCCAGAAATGCTTACAGGAATCTTCAAGGTAGGTATTTAAATTTTCAAGTGTAATGCAGGTCTTTTTAGATAACCCCCCTGTCCTCTGCGCGGAAAGACGATAACCTCGGTAGTGTGAGGAAGGGCTGAACGCAGGAGTCTTGCTCTGCTCTCCAGCAAATTCACGGACAGGAGACGTGCCTTTGGAAAGCATGCAAGGCACTTTCCCTTCCACCTCAGGTTTGAGAGCAGAGCCCAGAATGGTCTCCCTCCACCAGGTAATGTCTCTACGGGGAGCTAGATAAAACAAATTAGCTTTTCCAGCACTAATTACTGTGACCTGAGAGGAGGTAAGGCAGGCAAGTCAGCAGTCAGATCGGATCATTGCTATTCATTTGTAGTGACTGCTTTTCCGCACATCTACCACCAGAGAGCAGTACAATCTGAAGAATAATCAGTGCTTATCCATCAGGACTTTTCACATGCCTGTCTCTGCTGCATTTATCACATAAAGGTAAAATCCCACAGCCCTACACACACCAAATTCCTGCAAACACCACACACAGCTCTGCATCTACGAGGATGGCATCCTGGGGAAAGACTGGTGCGTCATCCTTATTAGTTTGTCACAGGTATTTTGTACTGACAACTGTCATTAAAGTGATTGAAGCATCGAGAAAAAGCACTGGGTGCTCCTATGACTTTTTTTTCAATTTGAAAGAATTTCAGAGAGTTTGGGGCTCTTGCATGATCAGTGTGGGGCCATGCCACCTTTGGGGAATGTGTTACATTAATGCCGGAACTGATGCAGTAAACAGAAGTGGGTTGCCCAAACATGGTAGCAATTGCACGGTTTGCTTCACCCTTGTGACTAACCAAAGGCCCAACCACAAGAGCACTTCAGCAAGGCACCGGGAGTTCGGCAGACTGGTCAGTTCTTACTGAAAGGCTCAGGGAAGAGGTGCAACCTGATGAGTTGTCTGATGAGAACCTGAGTTCTTTAGACTTGAAAGAGGAAGAAGACTCATTTGAGTATAGGGGACAAGAGGAAAAGGAAAGATGAGTCAAAGAAAAATGCAAGATGGGAACTGAGGCAAACATAAAAAGTGAGAAAAAGGAAAATGAGGATGGAAGCAGGGGCATGGGAAAAGAAGTGGGCACCTAAGCTTCGAAGAAATTTGTCCATGCTCCCTAGGCAAGTCTCGCCCAATCCGTTCCTTAAGAGCACCTACCTGACATTTTTGGTGTGAAACTGAAGCACAGACCACTAGAAAGAAGTTTTGAGCCAACAGTTACAAGTGAGACGAAGGGAGGGCACACTAAGCTATTCATTGGAAGCTGTTTGTGGCAACATGTAGATCAACATGTCTTAAGCACAGTGATGCCCTCTATATGGCTCTTCCGTCTTCTGGAAAATGCCATGTAAGTCAGTGTCCTTCCAAAGAAATTATGAGATCTTCTTTTTCACTATGTGCTATTTAACCCATGGCTAGTTAGTAAAACACAAAATTGTTTCTAAATCCAAGTAGACAGGTACATTCTGCTGTAATGAGTACACCTGGGGTATTCATATTCTGGACTCTGGATCCCAGAGCCTGGGTATTCAGAAAAGAGTTTGGGTCCAGACAATTGCAGAATAGGGTCAGCCATCAAAGTTCAGACTTGGATCTCGTTCAAATCTGAAATTCTCCAAATCAGAATTTGGTTGCATGTTTAAATCTGAGAGCAATAGCATGCCTCTTTTCAGTTGTGAGACAGAAAAGTCCGGATTTTAAGCAGATCTGGTCAGTAAAACAGTGATCAGATTTTCGAATAGCATTCTCTGCTTGGTTATCTATTTTAGCCAGCTTTAAGCTGCCTAAGAATAAGAGCCCAACAATTTTAGCTACAATTAAGGCTTAAAAAACAGTCCCGCTGCTGCCAACTAATGAAACAGAATATGCCAACAAGAAGGAATTTCATTTGCAATGCTCTGAGCCAGCTCCAAGCTCACAAGAGGCTGTGTGCAAAGAAGAAATAGATCTTACTATCGCCTCTCTTTCTGTTTAGAGGAGAGGGTGAAGGGGGAAAGTGAATACTGAGGGCTCCCTAGCAATCATTGTAGTTTGTCATGCTTCAGGTTGACCCTGCAATCAGTGATAAAAAAGCAAGGATGAGGAGAAGGTATGATTACTGCTTAGCTTACAGCATACAGGTTACGCATAGGAGAAGGGAAGGGAAGATGCATCTTGACTGTGTTGGGAGAAAGCCTGTTTCATTTCCAAGTTCTTGTAACAACCATTGCAGTTAGATCTTCCTCAAGCTCACCTAAAGTATTGAACTGTGTAATTTTGGTCATGGAAGAAAGAGAAATCCACCTACAACGTCTTTTATGTCAGCTATTTTCTACTTTAAATACACCTGCCCACTTTATAGATGATTGGAAATGTAATAATGTTATTATCAAAGCATGAGCCATCCCAGCCTTTAGCCTGAATGTTATTACACTTGTACTGTCCCCACAATGTCTTGGTATCATGATACAAAATTCAGTACATAGAAATTCAAGAAATATTTGAAGTTAAATATTTTAAGTATCTCCTCTTAATCCCTCTCTTTATAAGAGGAATGTTTAAGTCTCAAAATCCAGTCTCCAAATTTCAGGTACACACTATTCAAAGCAGAACAGAAAAGAGTTACATGTTTCTTCACTTTAAATTGCCAAGGAATATTATAGTAGCAGTTGTCTGTTAAAGTTGTGATTTTCCTGGGCTCAGGGAAACCTGATGCTGTGTTTTGATGCATGTTTTTCTCATCAGCATCCCCATTTATTTCAAGGAAGCAATGTCTAGAGGATATTTTTTAATATTGCATGAACCCAGCAAATGATACGCCTCGCAGTGATTCAGAACGCCCTCTGTGCCGTAATTGCCATCTCCACCCCCAAGATCCCACTGAAACAGCACCTCTAGACCTGTGCTGATACCACCTATGTGGAGTTAGAGCTGAAAGCATGCAAGCATTCTCAAGATACATATAGAAGCACACAGAAGGGTTGTACCATGGGCGGAAAAAAGCTCTTGAAGCTAAAAATAAAGAACAAATAGCTCTGGGTTTGCTCCCAGCTGTGCTGCATGCTTCCTTTCCTCTCCTCTGTCCCAGCTCTGGCTCTCTTGGGGTTAAATCACCAATGCACCACCTACAATGGTCCTCACTGATATCTCAGACAGCAAGCCCAGCACAGCAGAGGGGAGGAAAATTCCCTATTTTGCACACCTTGTTTCCTGAGCTGGCAGGACAGTCCTGTGGGCAATACAACAGGAGGGAGGCTTGCTCTCCCTTTTCCAGCGTTAGACCTGGTCTATGGGCAGACGGAAAATTTCGGTCACTAGCAATGCCAGTCTTGTATTGGCAGAGGGGATGACACTCAGTCACTTCCACTTTTATGAACTCACTGCATACTGTACTAATTTCTGCCTCCCTGAGTCTTAGAGATTTCTCATGATGTGATACATGGTTTCCATCTGAACAGCCCACACACCTAATCCCTGGACTACATTTCTTGCAGTTTTCCATCTTCCACCCACAGCTCCATTGACTTCTCAACACAAAGAGGCTGAATGGCAAGAAAATAGCAGAGCTCTGGAAACTGAAGAAACGTTTCAAAGCCTCATAAAGATTCTGGAAACAGAATTAAGCCAGGAAGGAGCTTTAAAACCACAGCAGCAGGCCAGGGACTCGTTGCAGAAGATTTAAGATGGTTTTATATGAAACCAGGTCCCTCAGGTGGCAAGCTGGCAAGGAGAAAGAACCCAAAGGGAAGAATACAGATTTTTTAAATGGTATTTAGAAGGAAACTTTTAATGAGGATTTGTTTCCAGACATTCTTCAAATTATCTCTCTGGGGAGCCGCCTGGCCAACTGGTTTTAGGTGGCCCTGCTTGAGCAGGGGGGTTGGACCAGATGACTTCCAGAGGACCCTTCCAACCTCAACCATCCTGTGATTCTGTGACATACTGAAGGCTACAGGGGGCCAGCCCAGACCAC